TGCTCTAGGCAGTGTAATTAAAAGGAAATTATGCCAGTTCTAGATGACATCAGTCACAGGAAAAAGTGATTGACTCTGTATTGAAATTATTTAAGATGTAATGTATGGGGTTTTACACTTCTATAGATTTTTCAGGACATCTGTAGTATAAGGGCCTTTAAAAAAAAATCTTTCCACACTCTACGTATTAATAGTTGAGGTTTTAAAAGGAAAAACAAAGACTCCTGTCTATTGCTGGTGCTGTGCCTATGTATTTCATAAGGTTTCCTGTGTTGCAAGAGTGAATACAGTAACTGTGTAAATCACACAAACGCACTTCAAATATGGGCTCTGATTTTCAGTACCAGAATTTGGGATTTCTGAAGCAGAAAAGAAGCCCTTTTTGGATGGTCACAGAAGACCCCTTGGCTCCCCTGTCCATGAGCCACCAGATGGCAACATCTCTTGGATGAAAATCCAAGATACTCCATGAAATTCACCATATTTGTTGTCCGGCTTTCCTGTCCTGCTTAAATCACTTCTTATAAAGACCTCATTCAACCCATCTCCACTATGGTAACTCAGAGGATGCAATTAGCACTGGAGTCCTTTGTCACCTACCAGGCAAACCCAAACATGTGCTTCCAGCAGGGCTTTAAATAACCACCCAGGCTGGGGGCCCATTGTTTGATAGCTCAGATGTAAATTCTGAAAATAGGAGGTTTGGACAGGATTTCCACTTTTAGTGGAGTAGGAAATGAAATCATGTTTTAGTAAAGCTCTGTTTAGGGGTGTTTTGTCTCCATGTGCACGTTGTTTAATGAGAAAAAGTCTGAAGAGTTTTGCTGCTGCCCTTTTAACTGCACCCCAGATCAAAGACACAAGTACCAATTAGATGGACAGGTCTAAGGCCGTACATCAACTTGTCTGCTAAAGACTTACAGCCCAATCTCCACATTTTCTCCTGCTCATTGTTTTACATTGTTGTCGTGTAGAGGAGGCAGTGCTATCATACTGATGCATCTCATCTTTTGGGGATAAGTACAGAGAGACCAGAACCCCATGTTTTAAATTTTTCCTCTTTTGTCTTCCCCAAAGCCAGCTTCACGAAGTGGCCCAGTAAGGAATTCTGTAGTTCAAACATGGTTGTCTCATTTAAAATAATTTTTAAACTGTGGTTTTACATGAAGATGAGCAATTTGCTTTATCATGACAGAAGCAGACACTGTGCCCATCTTTTCATAGACTGAAAGAGTTTTTTAATTTCTGCATTTTTCCTGCAGTATGTTGGCACTTCTCAAAACAGATCCAAGTAGTGAATTGTTTCCAAGCTAAATTTAAAGTAACTGAGGAGCAGTACGAGAAATGGGGTAAAATGCAATGCAGGAAGAATTAAGGGCTGGGTTATTTGACTTTTATTGCAGTTAAACCAGCATATAAATGACCTGATTTTGTACTGTGGCGCAAAAAAAAAAAAAAAAAAAAAAGTGTGAAGAAGAGAAGCCTAGCCATACACATTAAGTTATTCTGTGCAGTCTGTGATGTCAGCAAGGTAGAAACACAGTCGTGTTTGTCAGAAGAGTTAAAATTCAGACTGGGATAATACCAGTTTGGCAGTGTTCAGAATTTCATCATTTGCTTTTCATTGCTATTTTGGCCAAAGGCTCTGATTTCTGGAGAAGGCTGAAGGCAAACAGGAGGGATGCTGGGGAGCATCATGAACCTGACTGCGTTGCAAAGCATGGAGGTTTCTCTTTCTTTCTGTGGGTGTGCTTATCTGTGTGATTTATTCAGTTACATGTGTTTTCAGCCTACCAAAATGCAAACTTTTATAAATAGGCTCATCAGTCTTCCTGACACACCCAGGGTTTTTTTCGCTTTTTAGTGAGTCAGACTGTTTTCCACTTCTGGGGAAGGTGTATAAGGGAGTTAGAGCAGTCGATAGTTGAACACCCTGGTGCTTGCAAAGTGCATGACTTGGTGCTTAACTCATGTTAGGAGAAAGCCTTGCTGTCTACCAGCTGGAGCAGGAAAGAGATGATCAAGAGCAATAGAGTCTGATCTGCCATTGCCTGCCTGGAGCTCTTGTGATCTTGGGCAAGTTACTTAACCTCATAAAAACAGATTCAGGCTTGTTTTACAGATGATAACCACTTATCTCCTGAGAGTACCAGAAAGCTTAGCTCACTTTTGCTAATGCTCTGGGAAAAAGTTCTGTTGAAGTTCAGATACCAGTCTGGGTGAAGGAAGCAACAGTCTTTGATGTGGAGACAAGTGTTGCCTCACTGACAGTTCCTTCAGAAGGTTCATGTGTTGGGGAGATGTTTGCTTACATCGTTCCTGTAGCAGTTTCAAAGCAGGGGGGGGCAGAGACCTCTTGAGCAATCTTTTTAGTGTTGGCCGTGCTTGTTACTTACTGGCTCCTCTTTTGTTTGAACTGTTTGCCAAAAGTCAGAACCTGTCCCAGACTCTCACCCCCCGAGTCTGACATCTTCTCAGATGTGAGGAAGGAGAACATCAAAGCATTGCGAGCGGTTGCCCTTTCGAAGAACATTCCCCAGGGTTTTAGCACGCTGCTTGTTTGATCCTATTAGATGAAAATGGATCGTCAGCTCTGTCACCTCCCTTTCAAGGCTGTATTAGATATCTGGAGGAGTTTCAAGAGAACCATTGTTGGCTGCAGATCAGGACATGGCCTTTCTGTCACCTCCCCTTGCATTGCGCTGAACAATCCTGTAGCTTTGCTTAATTTTGGGGCTGGTGTTTAACACACACTCTATGCATGGAAGCTTTGTGTACATCCATGATGTACTGGTTTAAGGACACCATGTGTCTTGACTGAGGTTTCTCAGTTGTTGTCATGATGGAGGACCTTTTGCTGGTTCACAGAAGAGTCATTTGGCTTCATGACAAGGAAGTGACTGTCCTGAAGTGTTTCTCTGTAACTGTTCATGGGCCGTGTTTGCTTTCTGCTTCAGTCCTGGCCTTCTGGCAGAGTAGCTGTATTTTAGGCTATTTTGAATATGGGATTCTTATGAGAATAGACAGAAAATCATTTTTGCTTTGTGTTTTTCTGTTTTGTTTTTTTTTTAAAAAAAAGGTTTAGTTTTTCTCATGCTATTAAGGAGCCTCTTATTACTTTTTTTTTTTTTTTTTTTAACTCTGCATTCTAGTGAACTGCTACTGCTTTGCATGAGACAGGGCCAAGTTCACAGTACTTGAGTCAGCTCCCATAGGGTAGCACAGCGTTCTCACAGGCTGCGTGCAACTCACTGCTTTTGTGGAGGTTTTAAACAAAATTAGTAGGTCTTAGCAGTCTTACTTCTTATTTTGATATCCTTTAGATGATGAGGAAAGCAAGAAGGTGGAGAGATGTACACTTCTGAACTGTGTTAAAGGCAGGTTCCATCAAAGTTGTGCTGTCTTCCCACTTCTTGAATATTTGAGGCTCCCAGCATTAGGACAGGTGGAGTTTGTGAATGGGTTTCATCTGGGCTGCTGAGATCCCTACCACAGCCCATCCTATTGACTGGTGATGTATTACAATGCACATGCAATATTTCCAAGAATGGTAGAAGTAGGTCTTCCTACCCTTATTTTTTTTTAATAACATCAATACTAGTCTATCTATTCCTTCAGCTTTCATATCATCCTCTTTCTAATTTGTGCCCAGCGTTAGAAGAAAAGACGTTTTCTCACCTTTCAGCTTCAGAGCCTTCCAGTTGTATCAAGCTGTTGTAGCAATGTCCATGTGTCTTTTTCTCCCCTTCTACACTTGTCTTTGATACCTTTCCAGCTGCATTTGCTCTCCTTAGGAAGACTCACAGCCTTGTCTCTGACAATTCTGGTGCTACCCGCAGTGTCCTAATAGCAGTTTTGACCTTTCAATTAACTTCAGGATTGCCTCTTTCAACAGACAAAACCTGTATAGATGCCAAAAGCCTCAGAACAGATTTGGAAGGTTGGCTGAAAGACCAGGAAGATTAGGGCCATATTTTTCCTTTTGTCAGGGAAATCAACAGCAAAGGGCCTCAACACAAGAAGGAAACTTTCCCACTGACCACAAATAGGGGCTTAGATTGAATTTTCAAGCCTTTAAAAATAAATCATCATTTTGTATTTAATTAAGCAGGGTTTCATGAATGTAGTAGTATGCTGAGGTCATGAGCAAAAAGAAGCTTTTCTAGTAATTAGTGCAGAGTCCATGCTGTTCTGGCAAAAACAGCCATGATGTCAGTCTGAGACTAGAACAAGAAACAGTGCCGTACGGTGAACTTGAAACACAAACTTTATTACTGAAGGGGCACATCTGACAATTACAAGTACTGGTTGTGTTGGATACATAGTATATTTTTCCTTTAAAATTGCAAAAAGGTGGTGTGGATTTTACATAATTTTTCCTTTTAGTTTCTGAGTTCGTGAAATTGCTGTCCTGCCAATACATCCTTTCCCCTGCCCTAATAAAGTAAGTTATCAAACTTCCAACCTTCTTGTTTTGTAAATATGGAAAGTGGCCATTTCCATGTTTTTATTTAGCAGAAGTATCTGAGTTCTACTTTCGTCATGTGAACTCAAATGCAAAGGGCAGGTGCAGCTGTGAGCATGGGATCTGAGGTCAGTCACAGGTCATGCTCTCATAGCCATTTAGGTCTTTTTTTTTTAGGTGAAATTGCATTGTTTTCAGTACAAGTGTTGTGACAGCATTTGGAGTACGTAGTTTTGCAGCACTCAGATTCTAGTTTCTGGTGAGTTACTGGAGTCCTGTGGAGCTGGTAAAGAAAAGGTTGACCATATAATCTGTTTTTTGGTACATTAGCAAAATCTTCACTTGAATTACTAAACACTCTTGTGCTTACTTGTCACTGATTAAAACCAGCCTGGTCAGATAAGGATGGCTTATATTTCTTGGTTTGTATTGTATATATAACAGGGAAGAGTTACACATTTTCTCCATTTCAGTTGTGTTTCTTGAGCACATGCAATTATTCTTTTTTACCATTTCCCTTGATTTTATTTTGCAGGCCATGACTGCTGTGAAACAGTGAAGGTGGTACTTTGTGCCTCTAGGGAAGGTCATCCTCTTCTGGTTGTGGCAGAAGAGAGTTTCCAGTTTGTCCAGGATGAAGCCTATGATGCTGCCCAGTTTCTGGCCACCTGCGCTGGTAACCAGCAGGCACTAAACTTCACTCGGTTCTTGGACCGGTCAAGACCACCTGTGGCAGACGTGGACTTTTTGGATGAGAAAGTGGCTTTGGCATTTCGACACCTGAAGCTGCCGGCAGAATGGAATGTGCTGGGACCAGACCAGTCCCTGACCGGTGAGGACCTTTAGGGCATGTGTAAGACTCATGGGTTGAAAATCCTGGGATAAAGGGTTTCCTGTTCTGGAAACCCTCCGTGCACCTTTCTAAAGGTGTGTTGGCCTCCGTGCTTGGAGGTGGGATGTGATGCGCAGTGGCGTGCCCCTAGTACATCTGCATCCTATGCTTTGCACTCAAAAATACATAAAGCACTGATGTTTTAATCTGTGTCTCCTCTTAGAAAATTGCACAAACTGTTGTACATGGTCAATATTTTAACATATACCCAGAAGGCGGGGTTTTTTTTTGTTGTATTCAGTGGTATGTGCATCAGCATCATGCTTCTGAGATTTCCTGAAAGAAACCTGTGTGTAAAAAGTCTGATGCTCCTGGAAGTATTATCCTTGTGCCACAGTTTTGGCGCCTTTGGTAAATGTTGGTTTTATAGCACAGATGCAAAGCAACTCCAAAGTATAAAATAAATCTGATTTTTCTTGGAGAAGTTGGGTCTCTGCCCCTAAGGATTTGTATTGCATCCCCGGTTGGACACTGGCGGGGTGAACATGACATTCCCAAAAATAATTTTGGACAATTTTGCCAAAAAAAAAGAAGGCAAAGGTGGAAGAGCCTGACCCTTAACCACAGCAGTGAGGGCTTATAAATAAACAGCAAGGCTGACCCAGAGTCTCTGGTGACTGCTGAAACAGAAGGGCTGAGTTATTTGGGATGCTGTGGCATGTCTGTGCCCTTGGAGTTCTGCTTTTTTTTTGTCACAGAGTGGGTTTAAGGAAGCGTATTGAGGGACTGGGGGGCTAGTTCCAGTGTGTACAAATCCTTGCTGTAAATTTTCAGGTTATTTTGTCAAATAGTTTCACGTAAGGAATGTGGCTGTGAGGCATCTGTTATCTTTTATAGGATGCAATGGCATAAACACTTGAATAGGAATGGGATGTGACTTGCTTGGTGCAGAAGGCTCAGTTCTCCTGGTTGAAACAGGGTTTTCTGCAGGAGATTTTCCTGCTTTATTTTTTACCAACTTGCTGACTGCTTTTGTAAACATGAATACATGGACAGACAATTCAAGTGTTAGCAGATGTTAAAAGATTTGTTCATATTTAATGGTTTCTGGATAGAAATTCAGATGCTGTCACATGTTTACAAGGAGATAAACACTTGGTATTTTTTTCCTCTGTGTGGAAGACACTGATGTATGTTTCTGCATTTAAAGAAGTTGTGATAACACAGACATTTCTGCTTTAAGTGATAAAAAAACAGTCAAAGTGATCTTAAGTTAATGAAATCTTTGACTGAAGCTCTGAATTGTTGCTGGTTTTGTAGGAAGGCTGAGATCCTGTTTCTCTTTTTTACTTTGATTATTCTTTGGAAAATCAGCAGTTGAGGAAATCAAGCCATAGGATTTACATTGAGTTGCACAGCATGAACTTGTGTGCCTGGAAGTCGTGATCCTGTGGGGCTCTGAATGCTAATGGACCTGTAGAGCTTCCCTTGCATCCACAGTGAGAAGGGCGAGCTCTATTGTGCTGTGCTCTAATTCTGAGCTTTTTGGCATCTTGCAGCAAAGTTTTTGTAGACAAAAGTGTAAGTGAATAAATATAATGGCACTAAATGCAACTTTCATCCAAGAATATTGGTGCTATAAAATATGTTCACTTGCAATGTGTCCTTTCACAAATAACTGAAAAAGAGTAGCTTATTGATGTCTTGGTCTGCCGTTCATTTTCTGACCATTTTTTTTGCTAGAGGCAGATTTATCTGGTATTTTTTTGCAATGAGATAATTACACATAGGGTATTTGGGGGAATTTTTGTGATTGTGACAGGAAGGATGTGCATGCATAAGCATCTTTTTGGTCATGAAAGTCTATTTTGCTAGAGCGAGATGGAAGAGATGTCCCTGATTTATGATGGAGCACTAGCTGAGAAAAACCTCTGTGGCAAAATGTAGCACCCTGTACTGGTGCTTGTGAGTTAATTGTGTGAGGGAGAGAGAAACGCACAGCAAAGATTGAAACTGTGGGAGCATTTGAACAATTAGACATATTCTGGCCAGTGTCCCTTGGAGGGGGACACCCTGTCCTGTGCTGCGTCACTACCTATGAACAGCTATTCCAATTCATATTTCACATTTTGCTAAATGTCAGCACCAGATACTTCAAATAACCTTCCTGAAGGAGAAAATACTATAGAAATGAGAACAAAAGAAAATGTCAGATCCCTTCTTGAAAGATTTTTAGTGCTGCCTCTAAGCTGGCATGTCTCTATGGGCTCTTGTGGGTTGGAAACAAAACGCTGCTGTTTAGCAAAACCTCTGAACGCAGGAGCGAGCCGGGAGCCTCAGCCAGCCCCCCGAGTGCCGCAGCTTGATGGGGAACTGCTGTTCAGTGATGGCTGCTGCTGTCAAGCATGTTTAAAAGTTGATATTTCTAAGGACTGAAGCAGGAGTCTAGATTTTACAAAAGCAGGAAGTAATGGCCCTTCTGCAGGCAGAAACTGGGTAAGAGATCCACCAGCAAGCACAACTCTGTGCTGATTTTTGAGGAGGGGATGGCTCTAGGTGGAGGTTCCTCCTTGCTTTTACCTGCACCCAACCCTGACCAGTCTTTGAGCAGAGGGCAGGGAGTTCGTTGCCATCGCCCAGTCCAGAGGGCAGAAAAGCTTCTAAATATAACACCCAGCTCCATCTGCTGAGGCTGTTTAACTCATCTTTCGTGTCAGGGGGTTTGTGCAGTGCAAAGTGTACGGTTGGGGCCCGCACACCGAGATGGAGGCTCATAACACCCCACGTGCTCCTGGGTACCAGCAGGCTGGTGGTTGGATCATTAAAATGATCTTCAGTGGTTTGCATTCATCCATTATTATTTCTTTATTGCAGCATCGCTCCTTTCCCCCCCCCCCCCCCCCCCTTTTTCTAACACATTAGTAGGTTTGACTTTTTAGTATGGAAAAGTGCATGATTACTGTGGACAAAGCTATGTGAGCATCATCTACTTGCTTATGCTTTCATTACCAAACCAAGGTCTTAATTCTCTAAGAGTTTGCCATTGTTCAAGATTAAAGGCATGGAACAGTCATGTAGCCAGATTGTTAAGAGCATGTCCTTTAAGATGCAGGTTAGAAATATTTCCAAAATTATTTAAAGCTGCTGGAGGACATTTGCAAACATGCCAGTGCCCTTTTTTTTATTTATTTGTATGTAACCTACTTAAGTCAGCTGTTGTCATTTGACAACAGAAGTTTGTTCAGCTTCAGTAATCCTTGTAATCTTAATCTCTTACTCACTACATTGTCTTTAAATTTATTCTGCTGTTATCTCTTTAGACACCATTTTCATTAAAACAGATTGAAAATAAAATTAACATTTCTTCCTGTAGTTTCATCAGGGAATTTTCAAAACCCCACCGTTAATTTTCAGTATTCTCATTAGCCTTTTTTTTTTTTAAATTGTTCTGGAACAACAAAAGGTTTTACTGCTTAAGAAGAAACTGTCCCAAAATTAAATGCACTGAGCAGCATTGGTTAATCTAATCCTTACAGTAATATTATTGTAGGTATTTAGTTACCATTACTCAAACCCAAATATTTACTGATTTATATTACTTTTGTACAGCCTAACAGACTAAATATGTTTGTGATAACAAGCCCTTAGTTCTTCACCCAAAATCCATTGAAAACAAGTGGATTTGTTTGGACCTCAGGAAGCTTTGAATAAACCCTTTGTGCCAAATTTAACACCAGACTATGTTTTTGTAGGATTGGGGATTTGATTACAAGCTTTTTGTGCAGCAGCCAGTGGTGTGGAGTGTGGTACCCAGCCTGGTTTTACTACTGACAGTAACGCTCATGTGATGGAGAGCAGTGGCTGGACGTCATGAATCCCTGATGGAAAAGCTAGTTCAGAAAACAGAATCCTCTCTCTTAAAGCATTTATCAGTGGTCTTGTCTTACAGGTTTTCCTGCTAGCTTTTCTGTGGAAAGCTGATAATCTTGCCCAAATTTCTTATTTCTAATTCTTTGCTCTTGTGATTTGATCCTGATTTGACTTCAATAAGGTGTCTAGGTAACAATTCCTTAATGGAATATTTCTCCACCTGAAATATATATAAGCTCTATTCTGTCATGCTTTTCCTCATGAAAGCTACTCTCAAAAGGTATACGTAGGTGTTTTGCTCAACACTGTAGTCCAGAAATATCACAGTCAACCACAACCCACGGAGCTGACTGGAAAGCAGAGAAGGGACCTGTGGTGTTTTGGTCCTTTTTCCAGTAAGAGTGGCCATGTTTTTGCAGTCTGGTTTGTCCCTAGGATGTTGTGCATCTGACTTCTAAGTTGCCTTCCTGCTCTCCATCTCTTACTATTCTCATTCTCCCTGAACCCACCTGCTGTGTAGGACACTTGAGGTGCAGCCTCCTACGTGATATTTGTAGAAGACTTCAGAGAACAAGTCTTAGCCTTTAATCCTTATTTTAGAGAGAAGGACCCCAGAAAGCCTTGCATTAAGTATCTATTTACCCATAGATATAAAATATTTTATAAAGGTGCCATATAATGGGACTTTGCACTAGGTAATGGGACTTCGTGAGAGTAAAATATCTTCCAGATCCCACTTGGTGCCATGATAGCAGAACTGGGGATGGGAGCACATAAGTTACCTGACTTCAGAGTCCCTGGGATCCATGCTTTCATGCTGAGGCAAGCAGAAGATACTCAACTGTTTGATTACATGAACTGAATAGCAAAAGAAAGCCCAGCAAGTGCCAAGGCCGAAGGAGATGGAGGAATCAGCTTTGTGCGTGGTGCTGTGGTCCTGCTGAGCTGATGCAGCAGCGTGTCCTTACGTTGCAGGGGCAGGGCAGGGCACCTGCGTGTGTAAGGCAAGGATTTGCACTGCAGGCAAAGAGTGTGTCTGAAGCCCCTTGGGCAAGTGTGTCCTGACCTCCTCATCGCTTTTGTCCTGGGGAGGTTGTGTCCCGAGGACTCTGCTTTTCTCCCATCCATAC